TAAATTCCAGAAGCCCCTTTTTGAATGGAAATAAGTCCCGGGACCAGCTTTTACTTTTTAGATCATCCCCCGACCCCCCGAGCGCCTGCACAGTGGCCCCGTTTCTAGTAGCAGAACACCATCATCAAAAAGACGGCTGCATGAACGCCCTATGATCGCCTAAGTTGTTCTGTCCCTATTTTGCTCAGCAGCCTCCTTCAAGACTGTTATGGTTCCGGTACGGCAAACGGTGGCTACGGCCTTTAACGAGAATTACCGTCAAGCATCGCCTATACAGTAAACAAAACTGCTGGCAGCAAGAAGTATTAACCAATTCGGATCACTAGGATCTTCGGCTCCCGTTCTCATGCTTTGCTTACCGTGATTGTATCAGACGCAGGTTATGGTCCTGCCCACCGCATTACTCATTGATTCGCTTCCGATCTGACAAAGCTAATCACTGTGTAAGACTATTGGCGATTCTTCCTACTCGTTGATGTATCCAGAACCAGATGCTTAGAAGTGCGACATGATCGCTTCAATAATGAGTTTTGACGCATAATGCTTTGCGCAGACACGAACTCATCACGTAGAGATTGCGTAATGTCGATCCTGCCGCTTAACTACCTAGAGCGTTACTTCTGGCCCACTACCACTGCTCTGGCAGAGGACGGTTATGTATCCTCACACTCATGTCCGCCAGTATGTCCAGAAGTGAAAAGCGAGCCAGCACATCACCATCTTGAAATTGTGCGGTAATGTTGTACGATCCGTATGATATTTTAATAATTGTTTAAAAGATGTCGCCCCATGGATTTCCTATGGCGGGATGATAACAGTATTTTTATTATTTTGAATTGTATTTAACAGAATTCGGCGTTACTTTGTGGAAATCTATTATATTATAGGTCTCAAAAATTAATTTGCTTACATGTGCGTACTAAAATAAAATTATATTTCTTACACGGTTTAAAGAGCACCTCCCGCCCTCATTCAATAGCGTGTTGATTATGATCTATAATTTTTAATATATATGAGGAAATACTGCTGCTTATCTCCTATTTAAGTTTCTTCTCTTAACTCTTACGACACCAACGGGATGATAATGTTGCGCGCCTAAGTTGACGTCTGGCACTAGCGCCATCAAAGGATTAGTATAGCTATTCGGCGAAGAAACTTAGTCAGTGTTCTTGGCCATTAGTATTTAATAATACATAATAAATAGTAATCATTTTATTATATACTCAACGTTCAAGTTCAAGTCAACAATTACAACAGAACCTTAAAGTTTAGTGCGAGCACATTAATATCAAAATATGTATTTTAATTCCGTCATGCGCTTGTTTGTGACAAGTTTGTATGTCACGAGAAAGGGAGAGCATAATTTCCTTTCCGCTGCACCACATGACCCATGAATAGAGACACAAATACCTTATTTGTTTCCACGTGACACTTACTGTCATGCTGACGACATGCAATTTCTGATAGTGCATCTTGCATACTGGAAGTATGCAGGAAGTAAAACTAGTTTTGATTTATATTGAAATTTTATTTTTATACATTAGAAATGTTTTATAGTTGTATATTACCATAATACGTAAATTATATTGGATATGCACATGCACATGCACAACAAGCAAATTATTTGTTTTTTAATTTATCACACATATTTGTTGTCCCATTCTGAGCTATGTTTAAATTTCAAAGTCGAGCTTTTCGGAAAGTTAGTTTAAATCAATTACTAAATTCTACTCAAACAGACATACACGAAAGCTATATAATAAAAAGGGGTGGTAATAAAAATTAAATGGGTATCCCCATGAAGCTATCTATGGGGAAAGTGTGCTCCTTTGATAGGCTATATCTAATTCTATAATGGTATAAAAAGTAAAATGATGCAATTACTTTTATTTCTTTATAACAACAAAACAAAGAAATGAAAGTCGGCAAACTAGTTACGTAGTTTGTTTATTTCATACAAAATTCCAGCTAGGAATTTGAAATTTTTGTATATTATAAATCAAATACTGTATTGAAACCCTTGTAAGATACAAATAGCGGCGATGTAAAAATATCTAATGTCCCATAATATGTCCCGTGGTTGTCACAAGCCTTCCCGCGGGTGTGCGAAGCACACAAGGAGATTAGCAGCAGCGTCTGTGAAGCGTGGCAACTATGGCAAAAGTCCCTTTAAAGAAAGTAGTATGGAAGGCGTATATTCAGTAATCAACTTTATTTTCCAGTAATGAACTGTGTTTAAATATCAAATACTGGAACTATCATTTATTTATAATGACTTCTAATATTAGCGCGAACACTATATATTTAAATAAAACTAGATTTTGCAGATTTTATCGCGTATATTATTAATTTTATATTCCCAATAAAAATTTTTGTATGTTTTCTTCCACGAGTTGCTGCGATGTCTAGATTAAAAACAGTTCATTGACCATAAGTAGAAAATCCTAATAGAACGATTATAAATAATAACTTATATAATGTCCTCTCCCGAATCCGCGTAGGACAGGATTATAATGCCCGAATGTTCGCGCAACTGCATGCGCACTCTTTATTCTCTCACTCTTATAGTCCGATGGGCCGGTAATCTGGCAGGACTGGAGAAAGGTGCAGGAACAACGGCTTTACGTGCTTGTCGAGGAACGGGGTGAAACACCGCCAACAATCTGACTTTAAGTTGCTCCTGAGATTTTTTTACATATAAAAAGCCAATAACTGATTCTTCAGGATCAACCCGGGACTCGAACCTGGACGTCATGATCAGCAATCGCGTTCATGACCACTATAATATATCAGTAGAAATAGATTGTTCGCGACGTCTTGTTACGAACATAGGAAGACCTCGCACCGTGCCTGCGCCTGCGCATTTGTGACGTCTTATGCTTTGAAAGTCCTTTTGACCGCTGGCGAGATCCGCGTGAGCTCCGAGGGCGATACTCAATATTGAACACCGACGTCAAACGAACGCTTCCCGTATTTTCTACTTATTATGTTTTTGTATCGACATCTTAATTTCTACATATTATATTAATCGGAATCGAATAAACCTATAAGTACTACAGTCTACTCGTATATCATTCATCAACAAGATTATAATTTATTATCTAATAGAACTAGACCCAACTTGCTCTTGGATATTTTTTATACCTTTCTAAATCATAGCGAACTAAATCACTTTGCGATTTATGTGGGAAGAGTACAAGACTATATTTTCAAAGAAATAATCGTATAAAGAATTACCTATATCCGCATCTCCTTACCGGAGGCGGTGTGGATTCTCCGACGTATTATCGAGTTCTGACGCTATAAGCTAGAAGCTTTGCTTGTACGAAATTTTATATAAACTTATTCCGAGCGGTAAATCTTGTTTACATTTTACCGATAAATATTATAAGAGAATATTCTAGAAAATATATATTTATATTTAGGTCACTTCTTATGTTATTATCGGTACACATCACATTTTATATATTTTATACAAATTGAGTGACAAACAAACACACAGTCCACCAGATTGTGAGTGGATGCTGTGGCCCAGAGACATCCACATTTAACCTCAATTACGAATCAATACACAGGTGCGTTGGCACCCCTGAGGACTGGGATGGAATGCTTCGTATCCAGTAAAAAGGATTTTTCATTTTTACTACAACTATAATATAGCTGCAGTATTACCCTACCACGTAAAGACACTACAAATATCTACGTACGTCGGTCCGAGGATGCGTTAAGGCGATACTTCTAGCGAACGACCTTGAGCGTTCGGTCAAATCAAATCAAATCTGCAAGACGCCACCTACTGCTACGAACGTAGTATTATTTTTTCAATGTCAATGAACTATTTTATGGAAATAGACACGGTGTACAATGATAAATGTATTTTAATTTTCTTTATTCGGTATATTAGTTGTATTATAATAGAATTATGTATTATTTTGTAGGTATTATTTTTATTTAGCATGTTATGAATATAAAATATAACAGTTTTCATTGTATTAACTTTGTTATTATATGTTGGCAGTAGTTATGCGACATCTAACAGGTAAAGCATTTTTCTTAATAGCTTGTTTACTGTCATTATTTTTATCGTTATTATAAGTTTTTTTTTGATTTATAATTAAATAAAAATATATAAAAATTTGTGGTTGTAGCACGAATGGATCGACTTGACCAGAGAAGAACTTCTCTTAGAATTCCAGCGAGAAATAACGGTTTAATGCTGCTGTATTTCGTATTTGGAGAATTGAAGACCCTTTTTACTGAAAACGAGGTATTGCACTTAGTCATCAGGGGTGACAGCTCATCTTCATTTTGATTCTTAATTGAGAATAAATTAGCCGCAGGATCCAGTACCAGCTAGTGTAATGTTTGTGGTTTGCCAACTTTATTTAAAAAAAAAAACTTATCTGTTCATCATCGTCATCATTAAAATCTATCAAATTCTGAAAGAGAAAGTTTTAATTTACTCTCATAAGGGGAACTCATGCAATCGTTGCCACGCTTGGCAGGCCTGTCTTTAACTGCAGTTTTTTATTCTTTTGAGATATTACCAGGTAAAGCCGGCTGTCTATCTTCTCATTCAGATTACCTCTGTCGCCTTTTACGACACCCACGAGATGATATGGGATAGTGGATTCTCCTATGAAGCTACCTACATGGTTACTGTTACTTCACACACTGATCTGTTTATGATAGATTATCAGTTTTAGTCTTTATTTTTTAAATACATTCTATCATCTTCATGATCATAATCGTTATCACCGACATCAGTTGCAGCAGCAGCAATAACATCATGTCATTTAAATGTGATCATTAAATGTAATCATTAAATGTAATCATTAAATGTGATCATTAAATGTGATATTTATCATTAAATGTGAATCATTAAATGTGATCATTAAATGTGATCATTAAAAGTCATTCACGTGGTGAAGCTGCGCTGCAACTGTGTTATGGCTTGTGTATTATTGTATTGTAACGAAGTTTTTTTATGCGATTTACAGCAGAGCGAACTGGCAGAAACCATCAAGTAAGAAAAAAGCGTTATACTCCTCTAGGTAATTTGCCTCTGTCGCTCACGCGAACTTCAAACCTGACGGGGGTCCATCGACCGCACAACTTTTTTAAATCGTTACCCTCAAAGTAAGATAATTTCCTGTATCGTGGAGGCTATTTACGTAAATATATTGCACAGGGACACACATCCGCACCAGAAAAAAATATTTATATTGTCATTACTGTTTTTGACTGCGATTGCGCCATAAATTAGCTCTTGGGTTTTTTTTTTCTGGAGAATTAGAGCGTGCATCTGTACTCTCATATACCCATGCATTATAATCCTATCCAATCCAGCTAAATAGCACTGGTCATCGTATCTGAAATTTGATCTGTCAGACATTATTTCATACATAACTATTATTATTTTACATCATGAAAGTGTTGCAATTGGCCGCGAAAGCACCACACTGGCTAAGGATACCTTTAAAATATTTTATTGAGCCTCTTTGTTATAATCTCTCTACAGCAATGTATGCAGGAGCTGGTTAAATGTACTTAAGAAAGTTGGCACGGTGAGACTATAAAACTTCTGCAGAATGTAAAGAACAAGGTTTCATATGTCACAAGCACAACACTTCCAGCTTAAAAGATATGATGATCAGAATTACTGCCAATCAATATAGCGCTAATGTTATAGCCCACAGAAATATGGCTGCGTTAATACAGAAACCAGTTGATGGTCATCTTATTAATTTTATAAAATACAAAACAAAACACTATATTTAAAATTGTGCTTCCTTATATTTATGTTCCAAAATAAATAGTAACGGAAATAAATTATTCTTTTTTTATAGGATAGGGTGAAAAACGAACAAACAGTCACCCTGATGGTAAGTGGTTGCTGTGGCCCATAGATATGAAGATAGAATAAGACTAATGCAGAGTATCAGGAGTAAGATAGTAAAATCTAACCGGTATTAATTTTAATTTATTATAATATTATAATCGAATTTCACCATTATACCTTAGTACTCATAGATCTCATGCATAATCTCCATACGTAACAGGAAACACTGTATACTGTATTCTGTCTCATTCTCTCACAGGTAATAAAAAACATACAAAATTGTACAATTAAAGGATTTACCTTTAATTTTTCAATTTTATCGCTTTTTTATTGTTGATTTTTCAAATCACAAAGATTCTCAAGAAGTTTTCCTTTTCAAAAATATATTTCGAAGATATTATTGAGGTAGTGTTTGCTTCTATGGCATGTTCACTGCTAAACCCTGTGTTTTTAATGAATAGAAGGAATTACACTACTACGTCTATCCTCGATTACGAATCAAAATGCAACCGAACGAATAACCTAGTATAATTATGATAGGACTTCACTGGTAAGTAAAGTTATTTATATTGCATGTCGCACCAATTTTTTTATGGAATTAAGGTGAAAAATGAACACACAGTTCACCTGATGGTAAGTGTATATTGTGGCCCATAGACATATTCATGTATCATAATCAAAAATCAAAGATACTTGTCACCCTTGAGGCCTAATATGGAATGCCTCATTTCCAGTAAAAAGGGTCTCCGGTTCTCTACACTCACCATTCACTGGTGCTGGTATTCTGTTCCAGCACGGAACGGTACAATATATTAAAATAGCAGTACTAGTATGATACTGCTGTGTTTCATATGGTTACCGAGAAAAATCGAATGTTTCTTAAACAAGAATAATTGATAATATATATTAAAAAAGATAAAATATATAATTCTATTAACTCTGAACACGAGTGGAAACATATCTCGCATGTGGGAAATTGGCTTTTTTATAAAGGAAGAGATAGTATCGTTTTCATCTACATCGACCTGCTTAACTGAAAATGAAATAAAATCTGCTTAGCGTTGGAATATGTGCTCCGATAGAAAAATTTAAACTTGCTTGCACATTAAAAATTAGTTTTTTCAAGATGAGTATATCAGATGGTAAGTGGTTGACGTGGCTCGTTGATATCTGCATCTGTCCTAGATAGAATAAAAAAACAAAAAGGAAAAGATGGAAAAACAGAACTAAAACCAAAAACCTAATAAGAAAATTTGGGAACCATTACATAACTGGTACACGATCGAATCATTACTTCAAACTTTTTTGAGTATATGGAGTGGGGTCACATGATCATAATTTCGGTGCGGAAACGTTGTGCAGTAAAAAAAGAGATAAAGTCAGAAAGATTCATTTGACAAACACATAACATTAAGAAACATAGAAATTCGTAGTAAAAATTACAAATATTGGTAATAATGCTGTTGTGTAATTTCAGATTCCGCATTCATTCAGGATCCCGTTTCAGTGATAATCTGTGGGGTACTACAGCTCTGTTTTCAGTCGGGACCTTGATTGACTCACGAACAACCGGTCATTGATGTCAAAAATTACTTAAACTGATTAAAAAATATGTTGTCTGTCTTATGTTTAAATTGAAGCAGTGATATAAAGTAAAGCTAAATCGGAATGCCTAGGAGGCTTTCTTAAAATAAGACTTGCAAAACTCGTTAGGGTTATTAGTGTTTTGTAACCGGTTTCTTAAAACACAAACTTTAATAAGAATTTACAGAAACTAAACAAAAAACGCATTGAAAAGTTAAATCTTTTCCGTATCTAAGCAAGGTACCGTCATAATACGAGTATTTGGAATCAGTTTTCAATTCTTGAAGATTAACCATTTTAATTATTTGTTACTTATATTAAATAGCATCAAAATTTCAATTGCAAATACAATTCTTTGAAATATAAACAACAAAAGATGTTTCATTTATGAAACAAACAATTTTCGTCAGAAGCTCTGAATCAGTTCGATATTTTAATTATTTGTGGCTTTCGTCGACGTCGATTAAAGAAATGCATAACTTTTAAGCATTTCTCAGGCTCTCTCTCTCTTTCCACTAAATAATGTTAGAAAGAGACCTGTATAGAGATAATTAATATTTAGGTTTCGCCGTTAATATCTACAACATTTCGCCTCTCGGTTTTGCGTCCACAATTGATAAGTTAATTAAATAAATGTCTCGTTTATTTCTACAAGTATTTGAAATTCTATTTATCATAAAATTTCTTCTGCAGTTCTCAGAGGTGACATTGCATAGAGCGTTGCTGTATCTTAGAGGTGATAAGGCATATTATGAGAACTAAGATTAAATGGGTCACATTTTTCCTTAAAACCGAAATAGCAGAATATACCATATTCTAACCCGAACTGACTCAGGTTAAAAAAGGTCCCAATATCACCTTTATGTCAATGTAGAGCGACTGTTTAGACTAATTACTGCGGGTCATTAGCAACCGAATTAGCCAAAAGTATCCGTGAACTTTGTCATTTTAGACAACTTTGACTGCCTCGTTTGTCTAGTGGTCGTTGACGCGGCTGCTGTTCGTTAGGTCCCGGGATTGAATTCAAGACAAAAACAAAGACAAAAGCAAAAATAAGTAAAAATTGAGTTTTACTGTCAAGAAATTCTTAGTGGAATTCCGGTATCAGAAAGTTGGCGGTCTTCATACACGTAAAACCTTTGGTCTTGCGCCTGACCTCTCTTCGCTCGTGTAGAACTGCTATCCCAACTTAGAAAGTGGTCCATAATCCTCTCCAGCGCAGACGGCTAGTCTCTGTTGAGACTGACCACCGTTACTGAAATTCAGTCTGGAGGACATAATTATACTATCAATATACTTGATAATTTCACAAACGGCGTCTCCAATGATTTATTACTGTTGATTCGAATTGTACTGAAAATAATTTATTTCCCAACGTAAATGAGCATTAGATGCTAATTTATATACGGGTAATATTATGAATTTATACGGATGGTTAACGCTCGCTGTAAATATAACAGAACGCGAGTAATCTGGGTTCGATCGCCGCCGGCACCAATGAAATTGATAACTGCAATTTTAAGTGCAAGAAAAAATCTCCCCCGATGTAGACCCCCCCTCCCCGGACGTACGTGCGCTTTCGTTTTTAAATGTGTGTTAACGCACGATCGTGTAAAACTGTAAAAAATGTTTTTTAATAAAGGAGACAATCAATTTTTGTATGGAGAATGGGCCCACCACAAATTTTCGCGTCACGCAATGAAATGGATGTCGATTTATTCCTTATAATTTATAGTTTACAAAAGTAATATTAGTTTTACCACATCTAGACGGAAAATCGAGAAATTGACAATTAAAATATGAATTTTAAAATAACCTATAAATAAACTAAAAGCTATTTATAGTGGTTTTTACCGGTATTTTAAGTTAAAATAGTGCACTGTTGAATAATAGTTCATATAAAACCAAGTTGTAGGTACATTCAGCATTTTCAGGTACTTCAATATTTTTAGTAGTTACGGCAAAATATAGTGCCTGTCTGTGTACAAATGTGGTATGGATACAATTTTTTACATATATTGATTGTGAGTGTACTTCCCAATTACCGTTAAAATAATATGAATAAATTCAAGATGACTAAGGTATAATATATCCATTTATATTTACAATATTACCAACACACGTTATATAGTAAGAAAGATGTTTTAAACTGACTGTGTAAAAAACAAGTTATAATGCAACCGTATTTATAGATGGTAAATCATCATTTCCAACATAGTCTATATAATTCAGACATATAATTCAGATCTATTTATGCAGACAGACAGACAGGCCCGGTGTCAAGACTTTTTTTAATATGCTTTGGTTGATTATTAAATACCTAATTATACATCTTAAAATGACTGGGTTCTAAAATACCAAAATGACTAGGTAATATCATGCTTATCTGTTATTACACACTGATAAATTGTGAGGAAGTAAGATGTTTTGAACTGTTTGTGCCAGGATAACAAACACACAGGTATAGTTTAATTGTATTTATTATTAGCGATCCGCCCCGACTTCGCACAGGTGATTTCTGGATTTCGACAACAGCGCCACCTACCGAGTCCATATGTGAATATGAATCATATAGAGACCCGTTCAAACACACATAAACATATCATCAAAATCGCTTGGATGGTTTCTAACG